CCACTGCTCTTGGGAAGTGATTGGGAATGGTAAAGTAGGGTGGGCAAGTACTGACTTTGCAGATTAAGTAATTTCAGTAATGCCTGCTTGACTTAAGAGGCCTTACATGCTGGAGACTTTGCTTTATTACAGTTTAATAGAGATGTTAGAGGCTCCCTTCCCTAAATGGTAATAAAATGGAAAGAATGAGAGGCTGTAGGCAACTGTTGTTAAACTGATGGCAGGTAAGGAAATTAAATAAAGGGGGGAAAAAAAAAAGAAGGAGCTGGAAAGCTAAACCCACTGGGGTTTTATCCTTTGCTTGTAATTTTCTTTGCAAATCTTATCCTAGATTTTTTAGAAAAGGAGGCTCAGCACAGTGTCACTTCTCTATCCAAGCAGTGTCTTATGAAGAACACATACCTACATAAAATTATACAAAATTTGTTACAGTGAACTCATGGAATTTGGGAAATACTTGAAAATTTCCCTTCTCCTAGTCAGAGTGATCAGTGGAAATGCCTGAGCTGACACTTGCATTTGATTTTTGATGGCCATGCAGTACTAGACAACTTCTAGCAAAGGTGCCTGGGCTTGGATACTGGTTTGTACCAAACAGCTCAGTCTCTTCCTGCTGGTTAAAGAGGGATGAATTGGGGTGCATAAGGAACAGGGACTTTAGGATGTTGATTTAAGGAGCTTGGAAGTGTTGCCCTTTGCATGGAGTAAAACTCAGTCTGCTGTACAGGATGTGTTTGGATTAATTGGGAATCTGTTCCATGAGCTGTTGTATTCCTGTTACAATGCAAGGCTGATGCTTTAATGTTGTGCACATGAGGGCATGGCTGGAATTTTGGTTTGGAATGCACATGGCTCCAGGGTTGGAGCTATGGATGTCCAACAGCAATCATTAAAGCCTTGCTCTACCTCTTGCAATGCAAGCTGTAGACATCTCTTCTGGATTCTGACTTTTTTTGGTATGTAAAGTAGTAGTCAACAATTGTTTTTTAAATCACTGGTAATATCTGATCATATATAGCAGTGACTGGTGTTTGGTATAACAATGGCATAATTTTAATTTTTAATTTGTTACAATATTATGGTATAAAATTTGGCAGCTGCTGAATATTTTTAGCTACAGCTGAAGAGGTCAGGGGCTAAACTGGCAGAGAATATATGGAGATTAGTGTGTGACCTTCTCATGTGAAGGATTATCTTTCCACAAATGGTACAATTTGTAGCATGAATACTGTGTAATCCAATGGAAGATTGGAGGCCTGAGTGTCCTGGAAGCCAATCCCAAATCAGGATTCCTGTGGCTCAGTAACAGAGTTGAAGAATTCTGCATTATCAGGCAGGAAGATGAATGGTTAGAGTGTCATCTAACCCATGGATCAGACATAATTGCAGAGGTTTTTAAAAATAAAGCTTCCTTTTGACTCACTGTTCCCATTCCTTTTGTCCCCAGACAGCCTTGGCATGGATTGCAATGGGATTTTGAAACAGTGGAGTCCCAGGGAAATCACTTTAAGATGGGACAAGGGAATATATTGTGACATTTAGACTATTTTTTATTTCCCAGCTTCTCTCAGATTTGTTCTCATGTGTGGGTTAATATTTATAAACTGGTAAAATAAAATGTACATTAAATCGAGACAAAAGGATTTCTGTAGTCCTGTTGACTCTGTTAATATGGAAAAATCCAAGGAAAAACCTGAACCAAAGGCTTTGTTCCATTTTTTTTTCTGGGTAGGTTGGGGTAATGCAACATTAAAATGGTTCTCTGAAGGAATTCATGACCTTGTGGTAAACCTTCTCAGGCTCTGTTAGATGTGGTGGGTCTTACATTGGAAAATAGTCTCCTGGAAAATTTTCCAGGAGTCATAAGATGCAAAGTCTTTTTCTTAATGCATTTTAGAGTGTGTTTCAAATTTTAAGTATAAGAAAGTATTTTTCTTTCACATGAGGTTGGTCTCAGGGTTGCTTCTCATGTGTTTAAGTCCTGTATGTGTACTTGTTAATGTTTTTCACTTAAAGACACTTGTTTACAAACATATTTATAGAATTACAGAATTAAAAGAAACACTTGTTTACAAACATATTTATAGAATTACAGAATTAAAAGAAGCACCTTTAACAAGCAGCCATATCAGAGAGATGTTTGAGATGACCTTGGATTTTTTTCCTCTACCAATATTCTGCTTTATCCTGCATCTTTCAACTAAAAAATTTTACTCCATGGCTCTGTGTTAAGAGTTCACATTTTCCAGTCACCACTGAACTCTTTGAGATCCTTTCTGTTCTTTCCATTGCAGTCCTTTGATGGTGATTTTGAGTCTCGTGGTGGGTGACCCTGAATAGGTGTTGGGTTTGTTTCTGGTGTAGTTGCTGCTGTGTGTTTGCTGGTGGGCCTCTGTTGACGTTTGAATCATTTTCTCCTCTTAAGTTTTTGTGTTGGGAAGGATTTGTTGGTGACATTTTCTAGGTGAGTTTCCTTAGTCCTGGGCTTTGTGAGATTTCTTCTGTGTCAATATTTGCACATAAATACTGCAGTTGGAGCTTGTATCAGTACTTGTTTTGGTCAATAATCTGCTTTCCCTGAAGCCACTCCACTGATGCTGGTAAATAACTCTCAGTGTACTTTGAAGTGCACAACAGATTTAATGTCTTCTTGCTGTGTTATCTCTGTGTGCCATTTTAAGACCATTCTATGATGTGAAGAGGTGTTTTGACTGAAGCCTTTATCCAGACTTGTATGCAGGCCAAAGTAAATGGAATTATTTCAAACAGTCTCCTTCAGTATCAAGCCATGGCCAGACTTCAGATAGATGGAATACTAGAAAGGGCCCTGAGATGTCAAAAAAGAAACAAAAGGCTGATTCAACTGTGATTAATCATTCTTAAACTAAATACCTCGGACTGACTGTGGTCCTAAGCGGTGCCCCTGGAATTTTATGGCACTTGAGAGCCAATTTCTTTGGCTGCTTTCAGGAATTTCAGCATCACTCCTCCTGCAGCAGCTCAATGCATCCA